TGAATCATTTGCATTTTTAAAAGATCTATAGTCAAACACTTTGACAATAATAAAATTTCTTGTATATTTACCAACTACTTTACAGTATATTACCCAACTACTTTACAGTATATTTAATTTTTGAAAGTCGTTTAAATCTCTATATGCCTCACTACATGGATTTTTTTTTTTTTTTTTTTTTTTTTTTTTTTTTTTTTTGCTGTATTCTACTAAATAGTTAGAATTATGGATTATCCCTTTAACAAAAAAACGTCAAAGGTCAATATGATTTCTTCTAATAAAAAGCCTCAAAAAGCATGGCATTTTTTGAACTGGCCTAAAGTTAAGGTGCACATGTTCTTTGACGATGCATTCATTTAATTCACAAGCTAAATATCTCTTTATGTATGTTTCTTTATTTTTTGTAATTCAATCAATTTGTCGGGGGGAAAAAAAATAAAGAAATAATAGGGGACATTTACAAATCGGAGAGACAAAGAAATACCAAGGTGTCACATTTAATTTAAATTTACATTTTAAACTTATGCAAGAGTATAAATATAGCGTTGTCAAATCATAGATACCCTTTTTCTTCTTCATAATTCTATCACTATTTTTTACTAAACTAAACATGTTTTTATTTACAAAATTCACTTTATTAGCCACTATTGTACTATTACTTTTATTACAATTTACACAGGCCTTTTGCATATATAATCAAATGGATGAAGGTTCTGAAGAATTTAAAATTTCCAAACCCTATTCTTTCGTCAGGTATAAGATATAATTATTTTAATAAAAACCTTTATATTTATTTAATCAACGTTTTATATATATATGTATTAGTTATTTTAAAAAAACAATGCGTCCAGGAGATGTAGAATGTTGTCACTTCTCAAATAAAGACTGTAACCAAAGTGGTGACGCAGAATCACTTTTAGATTTCCGAGTGACTTTTGGAAATACTCCTGAAATCTCCTTTCCGTGCTCTGCAGGAGGAGGTCTTGTAATTACAGGGTCTAGAAATGAATCATCTACAATTAATTTAGAGGCTACCTGTAACCATCCTGATGGAACCGTATCTATCCATCTTGCCATTTAATAGAGTATTATTTAGTCTTTTTTTTTTAATAGTCCCCACCACTTTCTTTTATACCTCTTCATTTTTTGCTGTAATATACATAACAAAATTTCTTTTTTTCTGTAAGTATTGCTTTTTATTGAATGTTTAAGCCAATAAAAAAAAATATTAAATACCTGGGTACATGTAATATATCATAATGGAAAAACGAGTTAAAGGAATCTGCAGAAAAGTAAATTATTGGTGAAAAAGAATAATGGGATTCAAGTACATATTATGGATATTTCTTATATTAAATAACAAAAGAACAATCAAGATTTAACTGTAAGAAACCAAATTGTCATCTCCCGTAAAAAAAAATGGGGGGGGGGAGGAGGTATCTTTTTATGTTTTTTAAAATGAATGTGAATTTATGTGGTATCTTTTTCTTTCTTAAATGTGTACATATGAACGTTAAGAAAAAAAACCTTCTTACGCACTGACTTTATTTATTTTACACTCTGTGTCTTTTTCTCCCCCTGACAAACTCATTCATCTTTTCATTACAAAAAAAAAATAGGGGGTAATAACTAATTTATAATACAACAATGAAATTCAAATTAAATATAAATGGCCTTCTCAACCTATCACCTTTTTTTTGTTTTCTTTTTTACTGTACGAAACCAAAAGAAAGTCTTTTATCCATGAACTCTACTACTTTACTAATCACCATATTATCACTGATGCTCTTACTTCAATCTACACAAGCGTTTTGTATCTATAATCGACTATTTGAAGGCTCTCCAAATATTAAAGTTTTTCAATCATTTACATCTGGAAAGTAAGATAGATAGATATACATTTTTAAAAAAGTAGATAATAAAATAATAAACCCGCCCGTGATATTAAAAAAATTATTTTATTTACAGAGCTTTTTCAAAAGTATTGAGTCGAGATGAAATTCAATGTTGTCACTACTCGGACCGCGATTGTAATAAATCCGGTAGTAAAAACTCTTACCTGGCTTTTTTCGTAACTATTGACGGCCAAGACCATGCAGATATTGCTCATTGTGTGGCAGGAGGTTCACTTTCATTCAGGGGAACTTCTATGGATAATATTAGCGCTGTCTGTGTTTATCCTGATGGCTTTGTATTCACATCAACTATACACCTATAGATTACTCAAGGATTTTTTTTTTTTTTTTTTTTTGATTAAAAAAATTCCTTTTTTTATACCCCCCCTCCACCCCCTCCAACTATTCTACATGATACGTTATAGTTTTTGTTGTATACATTCTATATATCTTCTTTTTTTTATCTTTTGTATCACAATAACCTTAAGATTGTATAATCTTTCTGTGTTATATAATTTCTGTTGTTGACGCGATTTACAGTAGCGCTTTTTTTTTTCCCGCATATTCGGTTTTGCATTTCTCTGGGTTCCAATACCCAAGTACTTGTCCAATCCAATCAAAACGCGATCGCTACTACGCGTAATATGTAGATCAACTCTATACACAATCATACAAATAATATGTACATACATGTACTTGCTTTTTTCAAAAAGACTTGAAGTAATTCCTGAATTTAATAAAATAATGATACGATACTAAAAATAAATTTTACGTGTGGATAGTTTTGTGAGATACAAGATCAATTTATATGTTACACATATTGATTAGCGAATTTTTATTTTATATTACTGTGCGCTTATAAACTCCTATTATATATTTCTTTCAAACAACACGAAAACGATTCTAAATTCCACTATATGAATTATTATATTATATATTATACATTTGAACATTTCATTTCTCTAAAAGAAGGAAAACCGTAAACTTGTTTGAAGGCGTAAAAAAAATTTTTTTTTTTTAAGTTTTGATGTATGTACAGTAATGAACCTTATTATTTCCTATTTTTGAATGAAAGGTGATACAGAATGGGCTCATTCAATTACTGAATCCAAACATTGCTGTGTGATGTTTTTTTTTTTTTTTTTTTTTTTTTTTACTACCGTGGCAAGGTTAGACTAATTTCCCTAACAAAAAGCTGTGTGTTCGCAACATGATATCCCTTACTTTTTTTTTAAAAATAGATTTTATCTGTCAAAGAGTATAAATACAGCCATCATTTTAATTCATTTTCTTCCTCTCTCTCTCTCTCTCTCTCTCTCTCTCTTTTGACAAAAAGTCAAAAGTCGGCTGTTTAATAAAATACACACTGCATCTTACTACTCTGACGATAAAATAAATGACTACTTCTATTCAATGGGTTTATGCGAACGGCTCCGTCTGGGTCACGCTTGATATTGATGCGCAACATCATTTAGAAAGCTTATGGTCTTACAATTCCTCTAGCTGGATTCAATCTCAAATCTTTCGTTGTCCCGTTTATGTAGATATGGATCGAATGTCGATCATTTGTAATGGTGAATCCTATTCAATTGCTCGTTGTATAACTTGAACTTTAAAAAAAAAAAAAAAAAACCCCTCTCCTTAATATTCAAAAAACTTTGTACATTTTATATTTCCTCTTCCTCCTTTTGTGGCTGCACATACATCTTTAAAAAGATCTAATACATATTAATAACATCATCCCCTAGTAAATATATATATATAGCATTCTATCTTTTTTTTATTTTCTATCAAACCGTCTTATTGTTCATTACTGGAAAGACCTTTTTTTTTTTGTAAATCATCATAATAAATTCGCTTGACATATTTTTATAATTTGCGACATCTATGCATTGTTTTCTATCTCTTTAAAGATATCATATATTTTGCAACAGCTCACATCAATAAAAAAACTTTTCCCCTAATGGTAGAATGATATATATTTAGCTCAATGCAATAATGCGACATCAATTTATACCATTATTATTTTTTTCTTTTTGCTTTCTTCCTCTCATTCCTACTTTTAAACTTTATTATGACCGAAATATAACAAAAAAACTCTGTAGAACCCATTGTTTGACCCTGACCACCGCTACAAACACTTTGCTGCTAATTTAACCTTTGTCTCCTCTTACTTTAATGCATCTCCAGATCGACTCTTTAAAGTTTTCAGCAATCAATTGAAAAGTACTGGTCTATTGATTATACCAACCGACATACAGCTTGCGACTTTACTCTAAAGTATAAGTCTTTTCCAGAAACTATTTTCGACTTTGACAACCAGCCACGGCCCATACAAGACTATTGTGGTATACTTGACTCTCTCGCAAAAAAAAAAAAAAAAAAAAAAAAAAAAAAAAAAAAGATATCTCGCCTGTAACCTTTTTAATTATCATTCGATTGACGGAGATCTCTTTTTTTCTCCTCGTATACTCGTATAACTTTTATATTTTATTTCCTGTGATTTGTTCGCTTAGCGCGTCCTTAAAGACCTTTCAGATGTTTGATACTAACCAAGAAACGGATATGGCTTATTTGCATTGGAACGTATGTCTCTCTCGTTATTTCTGTGTGGGTGGTACTACGCTTGATAGACCTATCAAGCTAGAAGAGGCAGTAGTAATTTTAATAGATATCAGAAGTGAAGAAGAATCTATAACCAATTCCTCCTTATGTATAACTCGATTCCTATGTATATAAAAAATATATATATATATATACTCTACAATGTTACAACAATATAGATTTTTATGTAATTATTTGCTGAAAATACTTTTTAAAAGATAGTAAAAATAACAAAGTATAAAAGCGAGACATACCACCTATAAAGTTTTTGGTAGAAATACGTATAGCTTCACAATAAATGTTTTTCAGTGAGACACTTGAAAAATCTATTTTAGTTAAATCTTTGTTCCTGCAAAAAAATTTTTTTTTCTCGTAAAACTCAGCAAATCGTGCAAAAATGACAAGTTCCTTTTTTTTTTAAAAAAAAAAAAAGAAAAAATACTTGTTTTACAAGAAAAAGGTACATCTCTTTTAAGAGATGATATTGCAAAAGAATAAATGCACGAATGACGGGACTCGAACCCGCAATCTTCGGTTTAGGAGACCGACACGTTATCCATTACGCTACATCCGCGGCGAAAGATCCTGAAAATTATGGGTATTATAAATTATTTAAAATATTCAATAATCACGTGATGTTCACGTGATAAACACATGATTTAAACCGCTTTATAATAGACTTTGTAGAATTGGAAGTTACAACACTTTCACTGGGCAAAGAAGATAGTTTAACATCTAGTATAATACACGATTACATAAAGTACCGTGAATTATTTTATAAAAGCACTATGCGAACTCAGTATATACATAAACAAGCTTAAATATGTCGCATTCAAAGTATTTTATAATTTTCTCAAACAATGTTGTATCTTCTACTACATTTACCTTTCTAGAAATACACCTTCTTATTAGAAGCTGTCATGCGTAATCTCTCGTGAGAAACATATGTATTGATCATAGATTTGTATAGTCAAGTGGTTACGAAGCTTAATTGATATTCTTATTTATAAAACCATAACACAAAAAAAAAAAAAAAAAAAAAAAAGACTATGTGTGTATGTACACGTTTTGTTAAAAACAAAAACCATGTGTAAAGAAGGTAACGTTACGTTTCCAAAAAGAGTACCATTGCGTCGATCAAAAGGAGAGAGTCTAGATATAGTTTTATTCCCTTTTTTTTTTTTTTTTTTTTTTTAAAACTATTTATATTCTCTCCTTATTGTTTACGTACACAAACAAAAAGGAAAAAAAAAAAGTTTTAATAAAAAATTTCATTTATTTTGTTGTAAATCTCTTATTTTGCGCCAAATAAAAGGCTCCAGTTTCGCATCCGCAGGTGAATTCAAGTCAAGACGATTCCATATCCTTTTATAAGCTAATAGAATATCATTTTGATTTGGTTTTTCAACAAGTTGTTCTATTACTAAATAATGCATAAAAAAAAAACATTAGGAGTGGAATACAAAAAAGTCTAAATAGTTCAACACTTACTTTGTTCGTCAGTGATACGTGGTGACTTTTTTAGTGGTATAAATTCCTTTTCAATTGTATCGTCTAGAGATCGTCTTCTTTTCTTTGGTTCTATTTGAATTTCGTTATGTGCCCATTGCAACATGGTAGGATCGTTTGAATGAGCTGGAATATGAAATAATTCTGTAGGAGAAGGTTGTTGTGCAGTCATTTTTTTTTTCTGGAAAATATGTAATAAAATAGATAAATGTATATATATATATATAAAGAGAGAGAGAGTCCGTTTTTTTTTCTTCTTCTTTTTAATGATATGTGTGTATGTACAAGTGATAATGAGAAAAAAAAAAAAAAAAAAAAAAAAAGTGGAAAAAAAAGTGAGGTATAAATAAGTTTTATCTAATAGAAACTCCGTTTTTTTTTTTTTTTTTTTTTTTTTTTCGTTCTTTGATCCTTATTGCATATGGAACCAATATTCTACTAAAGGAATTAGTTGTTCTCCTATTTCTTTTGCAGTAATCTAAAAAGTTAGAAGGAAAAGATGAATAAAATATACATAAAAAAAAAAAAGCCGAAAGAAGAAAATACTTACAACAGGGGAAAGTGATGTTATAGATTTTCCAAGCAAATTCATATTTTCTAGTATAACCTCATCTGTCATTTGAGCCGATACCATGATAACCAAGCATAAATCTTTTTCATATATATCTTTTTCTACAATATTATCATACATAAAATTCCAAATCACTAATTTCATTGTCTCTAATCCAATAATTGTAAATGGTGCATTTTTATTTGAAAGTTCATCGTCGTCTTGGTCTTCATCATCTTCTTCTTCGTCTTCTTCGTCTTCTTCATCGTCAGTATTATCTTCATCGTGATCACGATCATTTGTAAATGGCATATCATTCACTACAGTGAATAAAGACTGTAATACACCTACAAACATAGGTAGTCGTTCTTCTAATACAGTAGAAACAGGAGCCAAAAATTGAATGATATCTGATTCTGGAGCATATTCGTTTATAAGGGCTCTATTAGAATATAAACAAAATGAAGGTAAAGGAAACGGTTGCTGTTGAGAAGAAATAGACTGTTGACTGTAACTTTTAGTTAATGAAGGTGAAAGGGATCTATTTACATTAGATTCTGGAGATTTATTATATTCTTGTTGTTGGTCAAATAAACCTAGACTGTCTATTTGTGTTGCGTTAGTTGAAACCGACGTAAATGACTGAAACGAAGGAATAGCAGAACATGAAGCTGCTTTATGGTGGTGTCCCATTTATTTATTTATTTATTTAAAAAAAGTTAAAAAAGAAGAAGGAAAAAAAAAAAAAAAAAAAAAGGAAAAAAGATAAGGGAAATAATGTTTTAAATTTGTGTGCTACTCTAATATCTGAACTGTAAACAACAAATAGACTTTTTTTATTTTTTATCACGCATTATTTGTACCTCATTTTTATTTGATACGTCATATTACATCCGATCTAACTTTTTACATAACTCCTTGTCAGTTACATAACAATAATTGACAGTTGGTAATTTTTAAATTCATTTTGATCATTAAAAGAAGAGAGAGAGAGCCGCTTTCGTTTTATTTTTCCCTATAAATATAAATTCAGTCACCCTATCGAATTTAGATTTGTGCTCATGTTCTGTTGAGTATCAATTTGTTACCATTTTTATGTTAATTTCTCATGTGCATGTCATCTATCAGACATGAGCTTTTTTTTTTTCTTCTTTATCTTCATAGTGATTTAAACTTAATAAGTGAATATTAACTATATATATATATATATATATATATATCAATTAGTTATTCTCATTTAAAATAAACATTATGCGCAGAGTGCATGATAATGTTTATTCTAAAAAAGATATATTCAATGTAAATGGTAAACATATGATCAGTTTATTAATAAATTTTAACGTATATTTCTATGCGCTAAATCTAAGTATATACAGCATCTAATAGTAGTAAGAAAAATAAAGTATAATATATGTATATGGTATTGAATATTTAAAGATACAAAAGTATGACTCTTCTTTTTTTTTTGCTCATGCTTATTTTTTTCTGTAGAACTAAAAGAAACATTATAACAAACAAGAAACATGTAGAAGAAAACAGAAACATTACTGTCTTTGTCAAAAACAAAGAAAAAGCCATGACCACACACACTTTCGCTCATCACCTGGTTCCTTTATTTTTCCTTCTATATTTCTCTCAAGGCTTTTTCTGTCACTGTTTATAAATATATACAATAACGATGGATTAAAATTAAAAATAATATAGAATATTTGTTTGAAATATTATCCTGAAACCGGTAAATGTTTCTTCTTATTACTGCTATTATGTTCTACCAAATTGGGAGTAATGCAGATATTAGTACCCGCGTTGTATTTCATATATTTCTTTTCTAGGCTAGTTTCAGACTTTTTTTTGTGTTCAAGACTAGTTCGTATTAGATATTAAACTTTTTGAAAGAGATTAAACTACTCACTTTTATTAATGATGTAGAGAGAAAGTTTTCGCATCACAAGTTAGAATAGTATATTGTTTTCACGGACGCGTATTTTTTTTTTTTTGTATTTTCTTCACCAGTGGCCTCCTCTTCTTGTTCCTCTATTGGTTAGCTCTTCTTATAATACTTCTTTTTTAGTGAGACAACTACTGGACATTGATACCAGGTACGACTACCATTTTTACGAGCTAAACGAATAGATGTCTATACATCATATTTTGGGCAAGATAACGGTCCTATAAAAGGTAATCAAACCTCCGAGGGTTTTCTCTATTTTATCATCAAGTATTTTTTTTCACTTAAAGTGAATGAATCATTTATCAATCAAGTGTATGGAACCAGCCTATACAACTAAGATATACCGTCCCTGAATCAAAAAGAAAAGAAAAGAAAAGAAAAAAACTTGAGATATTAAATGACTCAAAAAAATCAGTATCATCACCTGTTGTTTAACTTAACTTTATTTTTTTAACTGATAAATAATAAGGGAGAAAGCCAGCAGAAAATTTTAAGCTAAATAAATTCCGTAATAAAAATGCATGAGAAGGCAAGTAAAATGATCAATATCGACCAATTTACACAAAAATTAGGAAGCATCATAATACGATTTGCCTTTCTTATAGTGATACGCATTATCACAAAATTGCATGGTTACACTCAAGATGAGAGCAGTTTTTTTTTTTTTTTTTTTTTTTAAAGACGCCTTGTTGAAACATAAAAATACACGTTTTGATTGGATTAATCAAGTTGTTTTTCCTCGCTTATTCATAACCCGAATTTTTCCCTTTTCTCCTCCTCCTCCTCCTTTAACTTTTTTTTTAACTTCTTTTTAACTCATCACGTTTTAACACAATGGCTGAATTCCATGCATCTACAGCAGGTGTGCCACAGAATGTAAGAAACTATTGACACTCTTAGAGAGAGAGAGAGAGAGAGAGAGAGTAACAAACTCATATGTTGCAATAGGTTTTTACTTTACCCTCACCCACTGATACAACACTGAACCCATTTTGGACTACAATTTTACAAAAGGATAACTTTCTCTTACAAAAATCCTCTGCACCGGGAAACCCATTATTTCGAAACTTACTAAGCACTATTGCAAGCGTGTAAGTCATAATTGAATTGCCCTATATATATATATATATATCTATTTTGACACATGAATTTTTTTTTTAGATTTGATACAAAGTTACCTCCCTATCGTATCTTATTCCAAAGAGAGGTAAATACCATGTGTCTTCAAATCGCTGTAGCCGAATCCGAGAAAGCAATTAACGCTGCCTGGTTTTGGATCGAGAAAAACATCATGCCTGAATTAGAAACGATCGATCACCCTTTCGAGAAAGAGAAATGGGTTTCTGAAAAGATTCAAATGATCGTTACTACTATCGAGTTTAATTCGGATGAACTTTCTTCAGATGAAAACGTAAGACATGCTTCTAGAACTTTTAGACAGATTTTTGATATACCTCATTCAGAAAGATTTGTATCCTGTAAGTGTTCAAACATATAGTTTTTTTTTTTTTTTTTTTTTTTTTTATATTTGTGCACTAAAATATCTTATAGATTATTCATGTGC